AGCTGCTTTCATTGCATCAAAATTGATGTAATAATAATTGTTTGTTTTTGTGAAGATTATAATGTTTGCAAAAATGCTGCAAATATTGAGTGTTATCAGGGTGAATAAATTAATGAGTGTTATTTGATTTTCTCTTTTTCTCTAGATACCGCGGCCATGTCCCTAATGTAGCTTTTTCCTTTGGTGACACCTATGGAAATACCACCATGAAATATTTTCAAGACTTCCGAAATGCTGCAATGGAAACCAGCCACAGTCCCTACAGCAAAGGGGGGCAATTCCCAACTCTTTTCTCCCGTGACCCATCTCTCGTGCTTGGGGAAAGGGAAAGAGGCTGGGATCGATGGCTACATACTCCTAATTACTCTCGGTACAATTTGGATATGAACCGCTCAGAAGAATTGCAAGAGTTCTACAAGGTAAAGCTGCTTTTCAAGACATATCCTCTCCCTCATGGTCATAATTTGCATAATTTGAAATTGTCTGTGAATTCAAAATGTCATAATAGATAATATGCATTAAATTAATTAGGGGTATTTCATTATTGTCTAAGAGTAAACACTTGGTTTAAGAGTGGGAAAGGAATGCTTGTTAAAACAATAGGATGTGTAATTCATGTATATGATGACATTTATGCTTTTTATGTGTGTGTATAAAATGATAAATGGTATCTTGCACACTTGTATGCATAGAAACATTCTTCAGATAATTTGTCAGTTACATCCAAAATCTGCAAAACTAAAGTCAGTTAAATGAAGTATTTACTAAACCAGTTTAGGCAATCGGCAGAACCAGGTACTAACTTTATTCTAGCTAGTATAATTTCTTTTTATTTGAGGTAGGTATCCTATGTATGAGCCCAGGCTAATATATTATTCATATATGAATGTTTTCCATTTTTAAAATACCGCCCCCACAAATTGGTGATACTTACTTATATTAATCCTAGATGTAACTTGAATGCTCTCAGTGTTTTAATAGTCTTTTACAGTTCAATCTATGCCTGTTCTTCTTCAACATTTTAACATTGATAGAAAAGGATCTACTAGGATAGAAATAGCCTTTAGGTTTTCCTTCCAGGACTGTTGGAATAAAGAAAGATTAGTTCCTTTATATTTTGAAAGTAGAAAATTAAATTCACATAATAAAAAATGGAATTGTCCAGCCTCCCCCGCCCCCCCTCCTTTGACAAGCAGATCTTTTTAAGAGGACAGTTTCAGTGAAAGAAATGATATATTCTGCAGCTGGAGACATGCAGGCAGGGACAAATTGTACCACATGTTCATGTGGATTGTGTTCATTAGTCCTGGGACAATTAGCTAAAGGAAAACAAGGTTTAATAAGTGCAGAAGATAGGGTGAGTTGGGATAATAGAAGATATAGAAAAAATGATTCAGATGGATAGACAAGAGTGATTGTTTATTGCCTGATTTCTTACAGCAGGCTATTAGTTCAGAAGTTACCAAATGTTCTCCCTTCAGCCTTCTGCACTATCGAGGCTGCTACACACTGCTGCAGTCTGCCATGAGAACTCCTGTGCTATTTCAGCTATTTTTGGGAATGCGGTGGCTCAGTGGATAAGATGCTGCGCTTGTTGATCAGAAAGTCGGCAGTTCAGCGGTTTGAATCCCTAGTGCCACATACTTGTCCCAGCTTTTGAAAACATGCTATAATGCAAATAGAAAAATAGGCACCACCTTTGGTGGGAAGATAACAGTGTTCCATGTGCCTTGGACATTTAGTCATGCTGGCCACATGACAATGGAGATGTCTTCAGACAGTGCTGGCTCTTCGGTTTTGAAACGGAGATGAGCACCACCCCTTAGAGTCGGGAAT